ATGAACTTCCTGAGGCTAGGGGACTGAGTTTAAATCACCCAGAGATCCATGCTGCCTTGCATAGTAAAGGGCGTGTGGTAGGCTCATATGAAATTCTTAACTGATGGAGCAGCTGTTACGTTGTGACTGTCCATGAGCAGATTGTAATGCCACTGAATTTCATCTGCTAATTGTTAATGGTATTTAATACCTTACATGGATGAGGATCACAAGAAATACGGTTTTCCCACTGTACCTCTGTGACTCACCTCTGGATGTTTTCCATGGACCTGTACACTATATTGCCAGCCCAGATGGCTCCGTAGATGCTTGGAAAGTTGATAGTCTTGCTGATTTACCCCAGAGGCTGTGCCTAGTATTTCCTGCCCATCTGCACCGGTACACTTTGTGTGCTAACAACCCTTTCTTCACTAAGGTCTTGTATACCTTCTAAAATGTCTCTGATAACATGTGTCCCCTTAGAGAATCAGATAGGGTTTAAGTGTGATTTACATTGAAGACTTATATCTTTGACAATGCCCTAGCCTACTCAGACTCTTCTCCTAAGAAAAAGATTGAATTTACTCTTAATTTCTCCTTTAGGCTCTCTAAGAGCTCCTTCTACACTTGAATTTATTGATTTTTATCATTTCTACTTTAGCTTTGCCGTACTGGATGCTGGCATTTCAACCCATTCCTAAAACTTTAGATAGCCAGGGAAATCTGCTGTTAGAATTCAAATGTGCAGTCTTATTTTATACAAAATATAATGTATTTTATGCAAATTTGAATTGTGTAAAATTGTAGTAAGGTATGCTAAAAGTTCCCTTTTGAGTGAATGAAAAGGGAACAAAAAGATGGGCACAATAAAGGACAGAAATGGTATGGACATAACAGAAGCTGAAGATGCTATGAAAAGGTGGCAAGAATACACAGAAGAACTGCACAAAGAAGATCTTAATGACCCAGATAACCATGATGGTGTGGTCATTCACCTAGAGCCAGACATCCTGGAGTCAGAAGTCAAGTGGGCCTTAGGAAGCATCACTGCAAACAAAGCTAGTGGAGGTGATGGAATTCCAGGTGAGCTATTTCAAGTCCTAAAAGATGATACTGTTAAAGTGCTGCACTCAATATGCTAGCAAATTTGGAAAGCTCAGCAGTGGCCACAGGAGTGGAAAAGGTCAGTTTTCATTCCAAACCCAACAAAGAAAGGCAATGCCAAAGAATGTTCGGACTACTGCACAACTGCACTCATCTCACACGCCAGTAAAGTAATGCTCAAAATTCTCCAAGCCAGGCTTCAAAAGCACGTGAACTGTGAACTTCCAGATGTTCAAGCTGGATTTAGAAAAGGCAGAGGAACCAAAGATCAAATTGCCAACATCTGTAGGATCATTGAAAAAGCAAGAGAGTTCCAGAAATACATCTGCTTCTGCTTTATTGACTACACTAAGGCCTTTGACTCTGTGGATCACAACAAACTGGAAAATTCTTCAAGAGATGGGAATACCGGACCACCTGACCTGTCTCCTGAGAAATCTGTATGCAGGTCAAGAAGCAGCAGTTAGAACCAGACATGGAACAACAGACTGGTTCCAAATTGAGAAAGGAGTACGTCAAGGCTGTATATTGTCACCCTGTTTATTTAACTTATGTGCAGAGTACATCATGTGAAATACTAGGCTGGATGAAGCACAAGCTGGAATCAAGATTGCTGGAGAAATATCAGTAACCTCAGATATGCAGATGACACCACCCTTATGGCAGAAAGGGAAGAGGGACTGAAGGGCCTCATGATGAAAGTGAAAGAGGAGAGTGAAAAAGCTGGCTTAAAACCCAACATTCAGAAATGAAGATCATGGCATCTGGTCTCATCACTTCATAGCAAATAGATGGGGAACCAGTGGAGATAGTTCAGTCGCTCAGTCGTGTCCAACTCTTTTGACTCCGTGGACTGCAGCACGCCAGGCCTCCCTGCCCATTACCAACTCCCGGAGTCCACGCAAACTCATGTCCGTTGAGTCGGTGTTGCCATCCAACCATCTCATCCTCTGTCGTCCCCTTCGCCTCCTGCCCTCAATCTTTCCCAGCATCATGGTCTTTTCAAATGAGTAAGCTGTTTGCATCAGGTGGCCAAAGTATTAGAGTTTCAATTTCAACATCAGTCCTTCCAATGAACACCCAGGACTGATCTCCTTTAGGATGGACTGATTGGATCTCTTTGCAGTCCAAGGGACTCTGAAGAGTCTCCTCAAACACCAAGTTAAAAAGCATCAATTCTTCGGCACTCAGCTTTCTTTGCAGTCCAACACTCACATCCATACATGACCACTGGAAAAACCATAGCCTTGACTAGATAGACCTCTGTTGGCAAAGTAATGTCTCTGCTTTTTAATATGCTGTCTAAATTGGTCATAACTTTCCTTCCAAGGAGTAAGTATCTTTTAATTTCATGGCTGCAGTCACCATCTGCAGTGATTTTGGAGCCCCAAAAAATAAGGTCAGCTACTGTTTCCACTGTTTCCCCATCTGTTCGCCATGAAGTGATGGGGCCAGGTGCCATGATCTTAGTTTTCTGAATGTTGGGCTTTAAGCCAACTTTTTCACTCTCCTCTTTCACTTTTGTCAAGAGGCTCTTTAGCTCTTCTTCACTTTCTGCCATAAGGGTGGTGTCATCTGCATATCTGAGGTTACTGATATTTCTCCCGGCAATCTTGATTCCAGCTTGTGCTTCTTCCAGCCCAGCGTTTCTCATTATGTACTCTGCATATAAGGTAAATAAACAGGGTGACAATATACAGCCTTGACATACTCCTTTTCCTATTTGGAACCAGTCTGTTGTTCCATGTCCAATTCTAACTGTTGCTTCCTGACCTGCATACAAATTTCTAAAGAGACAGGTCAGGTGGTCTGATATGCCCATCTCTTTCAGAATTTTCCACAGTTTATTGTGATCCACACAGTCAAAGGCTTTGGCATAGTCAACAAAGCAGAAATAGATGGAAATAGTTGTAGACTTTATTTTCTTGGGGTCCAAAATCACTGCAGATGGTGACTATAGCCATGAAATTGAAAGACCCTTGCTCCTTGGAATAAAAGCTATGACCAACCTAGACAGCGTAGTGAAAAGCAGAGACATTACTTGGCCAACAAAGGTTCGTCTAGTCAAAGCTATGAGTTTTCCAGTAGTCATGTATGGATGTGAGAGTTAGACTATAAAGAAAGCTGAGTGCTGAAGAATTGATGCATTTGAACTGTGGTGTTGGAGGAGACTCTTGGGAGTCCCTTGGACTGCAAGGAGATCCAACCAGTCCATCCTAAAGGAGATCAGTCCTGAATATTTGTTGGAAGGACTGATGCTGAAGCTGAAACTCCAATACTTTGGCCACCTGATGTGAAGAACTGACTCACTGGAAAAGACCCTGATGCTGGGAAAGATTGAAGGCAGGAGGAGAAGGGGACAACAGAGAATCAGATGGTTGGATGGCATCACCAGCTCGATGGACATGAGTTTGAGCAAGCTCCAGGAGTTGGTGATGGACAGGGAAGCCTGGCATGCTACAGTCCATGGGATTACAAAGAGTCGGACACGACTGAGAGACTGAACTGAACTGATCCTAAAAGTATTAATGAAGCCTCACCCTAATTTTAACAATAGACATTGACAAGAATTACATCATTTCAAAGCTAGAGGACTCAAATAAATTGTAAACTGTGTTTAAACTTGCAGCCACACGACCTGGCTGTTTTGCTCAGTAAAATGCAGATATCTGGTGTCCTTCGGCAGTTCTGTGAGCCACACTGTGTTTTGCTGCATAGGAACTTGTGGTAGTTTTTATGTCTAGGGTTTTTTTTTGTTGTTGTTGTCATTATTTTTACCTCTGCTCTTGTTACAATTTAAAATGTCTTTGTAACCTATTATAGTGTTACCCAAGCATTGATTAAATGGCATTGGTGCTTGTACTAGTGCTAAAACTAGCCCATGAAAATAAACAAGTTTGGAATAAAATTTAGATGTGGTAAAACATGATAAAGAAGGTCAAACAACCCCCGTGATACTCTGTGCTATAATTTAGGAGTGTGAGGACTCTGTAGACCATTAAAGATGATGCTGAAAAAATAAAATGGAGCATTGAAATAAAAATGCACTGTGGTGATATAGAGCTGTGCCTCCTGAGAGAATGTTTATTCCTGTAGAAAAATCAGTTTTCAATTTGGCATATATTGAATTATTCAAAGCCTTCAGGAACACATCCCTTGCATAAAATGCAGTAATCTTGTTCTTGAGATTATTTTTTGTAATTAAAATTATTATATAGAAGTTTTTAAATCTCCTTCTAAAACTCAGTGGGAAAAAAATAATAGGTTTTTATCTTTAAAGTCTAGAATATGAATTGACTTATTAATAAGCCTCACCAGTTACTTTGTATCTATCTAGCTTAATAACATCAAGCTGTTCTTTTCATAATAGTTTTCAGAGTTCTAGCTTTAATACTATATATCCAGGGTCATGGGACATCTCGGACTGACATTTGACATCCCAGAATAGAATGTTAGAATTGAAGAGATACTTAGAGAAAATTTTACAAAGAGGAAAACAGATGGTTAGAGAGGTCGGCTAGGGGACTGGCTCAGGGTCACACAACATTTCGAAGAACTGCATTTTTCTATTTTTATAGTGTATTTTAAATTATATTCTCCACATGACAATATCCTTTCCTCCCTTTTTACTTCCTTATATGTGTTGAATTTTCCAACCATAATAATAAGCTGCCGTTCAGCTATATTGACACAGGGTAAGAGTGGAAATATCAATTTTTCTTTAAAAAAAAATCTCTGGAGGTTTTGTTTTTCCTACTCAAGGACTTTTGGGGTATGTAATCTTGTAATTAAGCTTTTTTCCCTCAGTTTTTAATACCTAAGGAATGTGCTGCTATGTACATTAGAAAGGACATGATGCAAATAACACATCAAATTCTGATGAAATTGTCCCTCATGGAGTATTTCTTCTTTTCAAGATAATGCATATGGTAAAACTTTACGGCAACACCATGGCTGGGTGGTTCGAGGAGTTTTTGCGGTAAGTAAGCCTTCTGCCTCCTAATGTTCTGATGGTCTCAGCAAGGTGTTTTGTTTTGCTTTGTGTGTGTGTGGTATTTCTGTTTGCTTTGTTTTTGAGAATAAGAACAAAACATTGCTTATTTCATTGAAATCTTTAGGTCTGTAGTGTGGAAATGTTGGCAATAAACAGTAAGAAAAGACTTAGAGTGTGCTTCACCTTATCTAGTTCCAGGGACCCTGAGATTTGTCTCAGAAGTGGCTGCCTTTCTGATGAGGTAGTAAAGAGTGTCGGTGTATGCTAGAGATAGGCAGGAGGCGGCCAGGTGCTCACCCTCTGAGGGGATACCGGTGGTGGTTTCAAGCCCATAGCTCCCTCTGCTGCCTGCCAGGGTCAGGCCTGGTAATTCTCAGATTTTAGTCCGTCATTTTTCCTAAACTGAATTGTATCTTTGAATATTAACTGACCTGGGTTGCCAGTGGCCAGAACTGGAAATCTCTTCTTCGCCAATTATTTTCCTTGTGGAAGTGTTTGTATTTGTGTGTGTTGGCTTCTGTTACCTATTATCCCTTCCTTCCTAGCATGACCTGGGAAGAACACACACCTGAGAATCATAGTTTTCAGGTGGACAGATCAGGTCACCTGCTTTGTAAAATAGCTGGAGTAGATGGCCCCTTTCTGTCAGCAGTAATATTCTGTGATTCTCCCATCGGGCGAGAGGTCAGCCATAGTCAGGTGCAGCCATGAAAAGGCTGAATCTCATGTCATGGTACAATAGGAAATGTCAGATTAAAAATAGCTTGCAGATGAAGTCTTTTTCTAATTTGCCCAAGGTAAGAAATGTTCAGGTCATGACTTCTTAGGAGACAGGTCAAGAAAGTGGGAGGAATTTATCATGGAAGAAATCAAATTTTAGTGAAAATGAAACATTTTACTGTTCACTGGAATAGGAGCCAGACCAGTTGCAGCCACAAACTGCTCACACTTACCTTCAGTGGATGTTTAATAACATAATAATAGCTTCTGTGAGGCTATTGGACACTTAACACCATGTATCAGATACTGTGCCAGGTACTTCTGTGTTCATTATCTTTGGGAATCCTTAGGATTAGCTCCTGCTGTTTTACAAGTTCAGAACTGTTCATTTCAGTCCCAGAGTGAGGCAGTGGCAGAGCCCAGGTCTAAACCCAAATCTGTCTCCAAGGCTGATGCTCATCCCACACATCACAGCTCTCCACAGTGAAGACAGAATAATTGAGAAGCTGCTAGTGAGAAATTAGGCAAAAGATGCTGCTCCATTCATCAGTCTCCTTGAGTAAATACTGTGATTGCCTGCAGGTGCCTGACACCCAAGTTCCCTTGGTGAGGTGAAAAGCAGGGAAACATTGAGTTGCCTCATTTATAAGAAACAAATGTAGTTTGTTTTTGTTTTTGTTTTTTTCAGTAGAGGGCAGAGTTTAATCCTGAAATATTGATGATCCAAGAGACAGTGCCAGCAAGAATGAAGCTATAGCAGAAAATTTATCATGAGCATGTCTTTGAAATGACATTTTAACTTATAGCATTTTTCTAAGTAATTTAGATTATTTAGTTAGTAATTTAGATTTATTGTAAACATAAAATGTATAGAAAAATAGAAAGGGTAAAACTTCAACTGTCCACAGTCTCACCATTCTGTAATAACCATCTTCAACATTTTTGTGTTTTATCTTCTTAGCTCTTATTTTCATATATTTAACATATTCTTTTCAATGTTCTATTTATTGTGTATATTTATATAAATATCTATTAATAGATATTTCTATTTTTATGTTTCTTTTATGTGTATAATTATCTTAATTTTGTATACTTACTCTGTATATGCATATAAATTTTTTACACTTAGCTGGTTTTGTATTGTTTTTCTCCACTCTTTTAGTTTTTATATTTTCTAGTTGTATTGAGGAATAATTGATGTTTAAAGCACACAGCAAGATGGTTTGATTTAAATGTATTATAAAATGATTACCACAATAGGTTCAGCTAAATCCATCTTCTCATATAAATACAGTAAAAAGAAAAGAAAGGAAAAAGGAAAAACTTTTCTCCTTATGATGTGAATTCTTAGAATTTACTCTTTTAACACGTTTGCTCTATATCCAACAGCAGTATTAGCTGTAGCCATCCCCACTTATTTTTAGGGATTGCATAATATTTCCCCCAAAATAGAGGTAACGTAATTTATATGTCCAAACCTTTGTGTTGGAAATTTCAGTTGCTTCTAAGTTTGTTTTTACAGATGAAATGGCATCTGTTTTTATGCATTTTTGACTAAAACAGTTATTTCCTCAAAATAGGTTCCTAGAAGTATTCCATAGTATTCCTAGAAGTATTCCTGGAAGATATTCCATAGAATATCTATGTCTAATGCAAAGAACTAAAACCCCAACTTAGAGCAATTACAGTGCACTGGATGTTGTTTTAAGTGCTTTACTTATGTAAAGTTATTAATCTCATAACTCTGAAGTAGGTTCTCCTATTTTCCCTGCTTATAAACGAAACCTGAAACACATGGATGTCAGGTAATAACACCCAAAGTTATGGGAAAAGAGCATCTTGAAGACTCTTGATGTTACTGCCGATAGTTTTTAAATTTGATGATTTTTAAGAAAATAGATTCTATTGAGCATTTGGTAACAGCATTATTAATAGAGGAGCTTCCTTTCAGCCTGTCACCTGTTATTCTCCAAGTCATCCCTACTTTGGGAAGTTTATTGAGTTTTCTGATGTCCTGATTAAAATCATCAGGGGAAGATCTAACTAATCTTGGTTGCTCAGGGAAATATCTTTTACACTCACGGAATCTGACTGACTTAACAGCCAGATATTGGACGTTCATCTTCGAACAATTATGGTCTGTAGTACTGACGTCTAGTCTAGGCTCTATCCCTTTCTGTGGCTCTCTTTTTTGGCTTCCTCTTCAGCTGAGTTCTGTCATTGTTTCCCAAATAGACTCAGCTGCATCATTGTTCCCTAGGAGCCTTTGAGAAATGTATTGTTGTAGGCTCCACTCTGGAGAAACTTTAAACATTTTTTATGTTACGTAAATACACGTACATAGTTTTATTTTGCTTTTTATCACAGAGTCCAAAAAGATTATAACAAAAAACAGCAGTTTGTTCCATACGTCCCAGACTCACTAAAAGAGGCTGCAACTTTCAAATGCTTTGGCTATTTCTTCCAATACCTCTGTAATTCTAAAACTATTTACTCTTCTTTGTGGCCCTATCAATTTTAATTAATGTTGATTTCTGTTATGGATTAGAGTTTAGCCATCTCAGACCTTACTGTCACTACCTCCCCTTTCCCTGTATAATTATATCACAAGTCAACAATGATGATGATGAGCCAAAATTCTATGACTTTTTTTGTTCTTTCTTATATGAGTTTTATGTTTTTCCCTGTACCATGAACTCTCTCACATCACCATCATTTTGAACTCACAAAATGATCAATTATTATTGGATTAATATGGATTATTGGATTATCTATTTTTTTTCCAGAACTTTCTAAACTCTTATTCCAGTCTGATTTGTTGTACTGCTGTTGTCCTAGAACTTTTGTTCTCAAATTTCCCTATACTGAGTCCCCACCTCACCTTAATTTTATTTCCCAAATCCTGTGACTTCCTATTTATTGATCTAATCCCCCCCCCTTTTTTTTATGATATCCAAACTCTATTAGCTTCCTAAAAAAAAGAGTGCAAGGGAACTAAATTTTTGAGTTCTTACATGCCTGAAATTGTCTTTATTCTGCCCCCTTTTCCTAGAGTGTTGCTTTGGCTGGTGTAGAATTCTGAAGTGAAAGTTGCTCAGTCGTGTCCAACTCTTTGCGACCCCATGGACTGTAGCCCACCAGGCTCCTCTGTCCATGGGATTCTCCAGGCAGGAATACTGGAGTGGGTAGCCATTCCCTTCTCCAGGGGATCTTCCCAACCCAGGGATTGAACCCGTGTCTCCCGCATTGCAGGCAGATTCTTTACCATGAACCACCAGAATTCTAGGTTAATAGTGATTTTCTCTCAGAACTTTGAAGGCAGTCCTCTGATGTTCTCCAGCTTCCAGTGTTACTACTATAAAACTTGTAAAATCTAGTGTGTATAAACCGCTCCTCACCTCCTCCTAGATGCTTTTAGGATCTATTCTTTATCCCCACATTCTAAAATTCCACCATGTTCACCTTTTGGTCTTTATCATTCATTTTGCTAAGTATTTGACTAGGTCTTTAAATCTGGAGACTCATATCCTTCTGTTCTGGGAGATTTTCTCTCATGCTATTTTTGGACAGTTGCTTTTCCTCCGTCCTCTGCTCTCCCTTATACCCCTACCATTATTTGAGTGTTTATGATGTGCGAGGTAGTGAAGTAAACACATCCTGCATGTCCCATTAATCCCTCAAATAAGGAAAGTGCTATCAGTCATCTTCTGCAGACGAGGAGACTGAGGTTCTAATTTAGTCCCCTTGCTTAAATTCCTCAAGCTAACCTGTAAAAGATTTGGGATTCAAGTCCAGGTCTCCTCACCTAGTGGCTGTGCTATAACCACTGCATAATGCCAGTCACTCTCCAGTTGCAGAAAGGGAGAGGGTTGATTCTCAAAGGCTTTCAATATAAGGAAGCTCAAGAAAGCAACTGCAAGATTTTTTACAATCTATTGAAGATTTAAAAAGCCTCCAGAGAGCTCTGTAGAGCCAAACCAGTAGATGACAGAGAACAGATTTCAGTATGCTTAGGGAACAGTTGGCCTGCAGAGGGAAGGGAGCTGTAAGGAGCTTAGGAAATCTTTCCTCAGGGAAGCAGTGTGGTTGGTGGTGTGGTTGAAAAAGCAGAGAGATGATCTTAAGTTCAGATCCTGGCCCTGGCACTCATTAGCTGTGTGATTTCCATACGTAAAATAGGGATATAGATTGTACAGGGTTCTTACAAAGATTAGCTGGGATAAAATACGTTAAAGCATCAGCATGCAAGCAAACCATAAATGTTAACCCCCTTCATTTTTAGAAAATATTCATGAATACAAAGGAAATCTCTACATAAGGGTGAATGGGACATAGGTAAAGAAAGTATGTGGAGATGAGATATAAACAGGATGGTGAGCTGCCACCAGGCTGGCCATGTGCCAGCAGAGACTGTGCAAGCAGCATGCGTGCAAGTCATTCTGAGCACTCCACGGGAAGAGTCTGGATCACTGTGAATGAGAAAGTTTGAGCTTTTCTCAAACTGTTCTCACCATTCCCTGACTTGATGGGATTATTCATTCTCAGGATAGCCCAAGACTTGATGGGATCATTCATCCTCAGGATAGCCCAAGCCCACCTGCTTCTTCAAGCTTTAAAGTGATTTGGTTCTTAAAACACAATTGAAGAGTCCGTGAGCTGAAGGAGTGTGTGCCTGTTTTCACTCTTGCTCGCCTCAGCTCTGTGTCTCTGTGTGACTGTGTGTGCATGCATATGCTTGTGCATGGGTATAATGCGCAAGAGAGCATGTCATGGTGCAGCTTTTCACAAACAATTCTTTTGCAGTTAGCTCTGAGGGCAGCTCCATCCTATGAAGATTTTGTGGCTGCATTAACCATTAAGGAAGGCGACCACCAGAAGGCAGCTTTCAGTGTTGGGATGCAGAGGGACCTCAGCCTTTACCTCCCTGCCATGGAGAAGCAGCTGGCGATACTGGACACTTTATACGAGGTCCACGGACTGGAGTCTGATGAGGTGGTATGACATCTGCAGGGTAACGCTGCCTCCTCACTTCAGGGAATAAAGTTTGCTAAAGTGTTTTGTTGCCCGACTTAAATTTCCAGCAGCAGCTCCAACTCTCTCCAATCTCTTACTTGGGGAATGGAGAGGGGAAGGCAAAGCCTAGTGCTTTTATATATAATTTTTTCAATGCTGTTTGTTTCATGTGTTTAAAAATCAAGGTGCTATATATTTAGTTCAAAAGGCCTCATGGAAAACCAAATCGTAGCTGTTATGTAGATGTGAACAGCAAGTTATAAGAACAAATTTGACAAATGAATTTGTTAGTTTTATGTTTTGTTTTTAGCTTTTAGTTTTAATGGGTCACCCAAACCCAAGCTGAAAATGAGCAATTTTCTGTATCAAGGATTGTAACTCATAGCCAGTATTTCAGTCAACTTAGATTAGTCTAAAATTTTCAAGGGAGTTAGGCCCCTCTGTTGAAGCTATTGAAAATCTGGAGTTTGCTATTCCTAGATGTTCTGCAGAGAATTCTCTTCTCCATGGCTCCGTGGGCCAGAAGAACCTGTGTATTCAACACATCCAGTACACTGGTTGTGACCAAGCAGTACCATCCCATTTACAGGTGGAGAGACTGGCCCTGAAGAGATGAGTGGTATGTCCTTGCCCTGAGCCGGAGGATAATACGGGAAAGGTGGGTGGGTCATCTGAGGTGACCCCTGTGCAGTACACACCCTTTGCCGTCTGCTTTCCCCTGCATCATCTCAGTTGGACATCACGGCAAAACCATGGTATTCAGGGATTATTATTAAACTTCATAAGTAAGGTTTAGAAGTCAAGGGATAATCTCAGTCACATAGCCACTAAATAGAGGAACCACGTGATTTTGATTTCCATGTGTGACCTGGACCACCTCTGCATCAAAATCACATGGAGAACTTGTTTGAAAATTAAATTCCCAGGCCTTACCTTGACCTGAAGATTCATAATTGTGGGAGTAGGACTCAGGATAATAAACCTCGAATTTGAATAAATTTTACAAGGTATTCTTGTGCAACAGGGTTGAAGAACTATGAGATTAAATTATAGTTTATGGAATTCCCAGTCTTCTGCATGAACTAAATGTATCCTTTCTTGCAAAGAGGAGAAGGCTATCATTGGAGTGAAGTAGTTAAAAGGAGAGTGAGAAGTGGAGCGAGTTTACTCAGCAACTTTCTTAACTGAACCAGAAGGCCTTGGTGTTGTCCCCAGGGGCCACAGTTGTGAATGTGCTCTCTGACCAGTCTTGGCTTAATCACCAATAGTGCAGAGTGAGCTAAATGCAGCTGCTTATCTGTCTCAAGAGCTTTGGGACCATGTCACAGTTTAAAAGTGGGATTTTTAAGTCTTTCATGAAACAACCCAAAGAGTGTGACATGATGCCAGGACTGTGGCCTCAGTCCTGCAGTAAGCCAGGCTGCCAGGAGTGGGCGTGGGGGAGAGGCCACGGGTGCCTTCTGTGCCAGAGACTACTAGCTTAAAGTCGCTGGAAGGAAAGGTCCAGCACGAGGTAGCTCCCCGGCTGGAAGTGGTGTTCCTTTGAGGGGTCCAGGGGATGCTGCTCCAAGAGCAAAGAGAACCCTCTCCTTGGGTGAGAGGTTGCTATGGGGAAGGGTACTGATTTGGTCTTTTTGTCTGTCTTTAAACAGATGAGTGGGCAGCTAACGTAGCTCAAATTATTGAATTGGGTACTCTGTACAATAAGGACTTGTGGAAAATGCTTTAACTTTAGAAAAACAGCATCGGATATTTTAAGGCTGGAGAGACAAAAAGTGCTGAAGTGACATTGATTCTTTCATATCTTAGCACTTGCTGTTGGCAGCTGCCAAGGTGTGTGTGTTGTCTCCTCCACTCCCACAAGTAATTAATTAGTGTGCATCTCCTTCTCTGGCTAGTGTGGGCATGATGGCAGGACTCGGGGATGATTTAGACTTCCTGCCCTTCACAGAGCCTCCTAAAGGGAAGAAAAAAGCCACCAGCCTTTGCTTTACATTGAGTGAATGTGCCATCAGGTGGGGAGGCTACCTGGAGATTGTAAGTGTTGTGAAGCATGACCATTTTGAGCAAATGCTGGTGCTTCCTGTCACCTCAGGTGAACTGCTGTGGTCCCTGGCAGAGGTGGGCTCACGGAAAATACCTCAGATTTTCCACCGAGGCTCTGAATGCACACAAAAAGAAAGCTGCTCAACATAACCATTTCACATTTATATAGGTACTGCCTTGGCATATATGACCCAGTTTTCTGGAGAAGATTTCATATTATCTGGGATCTTTGGTCAGAGAAGCTTGAATAACTTGAATAACTTATCTGCTCAACACTTTTCCAGCCCTACAGAAAGGGGGTAATGTTTTTTAATAGATATTTTCCTTATTGGAGCATGTTAAGTTTACCTGAGATGTGTAAAGCTCTAGAAATTGAATTATCATCATACTAGATGATAAATTCAATTTGACCTGAAGCTTGGCACAGTCAGAGCTTTATCCTGGACCTTTACTATTTGCTTCTCCATTTTACTTAAAGTCACAATTTGTGCTAATTTCCATTTACTATCTAAGAAGAAGACAAAGAGAAAAGAGAGTTAAGCCTTTCTCTCCAGAATCCTCGCAAGATTCCTGGGGCTTCCAAGCTTTCTTTCATTCTGATAGTGAGAGGAGATGGGAAAATGGTATTATGTTTGTTGGGAGAGTAATCACCTTGCTCAAACATTTTTAGGATTCCCTTTCTAGATTAACCTTTAGAGAGATCTTGAAGGAAAATAGAAGGTAATGTGTCTTCTCGGTATCATTAGAAGCTAATAAGTAGCATTTGAACAATCTCTCACAAGGTACTTTCATACACATAATTTCATTCATGTCTATACTTCTTCCCACGGCAGAAGCCAGGCCTTACACTTAGGAGGGATTAACGTGTGTTTGTCTAACTGAACAAAACAAAATCCTGTTAATGATGGCAATTTTTTTGTCCTTTGAAAGCAAATTTGATTCATTGTATCTAATCTTGACAAAAATGCTAAGTTAGAAGGGGGTACCTTTTGGGGAAGAAACCAACTTGTGTCTCTGAAGTGGAGATGATTTTCTCATCACCTCTTGATCCAGCTCTACAGGAAGTATAGAAATGGGGCTCTTGGAATGTTGAGCACATCTGTCCCCAGGAAATTGACTTTGAAAGGCAGCATTTGTTAGGATGTATAAGTATTGACTTCAGGGGCCTTGTCATCATTATTTGTGTCATTCTGAATATAAATCCTCCCCAAATGTCATATTCCATGATGAGGGATATCTGAACTCCATAGTTCAGTCCTGCTGCCTCTCTCTCCTCTTCTGTTACTAATGGTTGTGAATAGTACCCTCATCAGAGTACCAAACCCATCCCCTTTTTTAACTGCTTTGCTCTATTCCTCAGCAGCAGCTTTCTGGCACATATGTGGAGCATCTGGCACCGGCCTAGCCGGGGTCAGGTGCCCAGCCAATGAGGATTCTCTCTTAGTCTGCGAGCGCTTCTTAAAGTACCCCTGTCCCAGTGTATAGCTGTGAATCAGGTGACCACATGGTATGTACCATCTAGGAAAAGTGATATGTTATTAGATAAATGCTGCTGGAAAGATTTGCAACCTTCTCTTTTTGATTATTAATTACACACACGCACATATATCCATCCCTAAAGTTAATGTTTTCAGTTTCCTATTTTTGGAAAAGTGTTTTTAATTAGGAAAAGCTTGTGGTAGGGACCAATAAATAAATTACACTTTTCTTATTAAATTTGAAGTAAACTAAAAGAACTGAAGCAAGAGGTATCTTATTAAAGAAACCAAATCTGATGGTGAAAAATCAGAAGAAATATCATTTAAGTCAGTAAGGAAAGTCAGAGGGTTATGAGCAATACAAGATGTGATTTTGGGAGCTTTCTGGAAGAAAACTGTTCTTACGTTTTTTTCCTACTAAATGACCCTGTACTATAAGAAGCTGGTTACATGATGGTACATTTCTGAATCACTTGCTTCTGATTTTAGTTTTGTTTTTTTTTTAATAATTCTTCAGCTTTCCTGCCCTCATGTTTGATTTCTTTTTTTTCAAGTGAAGTGTCAACCTTTAAAAAATTTTTTCGATTTAGAATTTATGAGTACAGTACATCCTAAGCCATTGTTCTGTTAGCTGAGCTAATGTGTTTTGTCTTGGAATGCCTGACTTCCATGCTCTTTGTGATCTGGTGGAATCTGTACATGAGCTTCAGTGTCAACAGTAACCCATGTCCCTGTGACATGCATGTAGAGTGCTTTACTTGGAAACACACTCTGCTTCCAGGTGGCCCTTCATTGTCTGCAGTTGCTTACTCAGGGGTTCATAATAATGTCATAAAAATCCCCACTAGCTGTCTAATAGTATTTTAAAACTGTTTATCTATTAATAGGGTGTAGGGGTCCTTTCAGCAATTCCATGAGCGTACTGTTCACTGGACCTCCTCTGGAAATGCCCCCAGACCCGTCCTGGCACAGGCAGTAGCTGTGTGCAGAGGCCATCTGCATGATTTCTCATCGCACTGCTGCCTCAGGGCACTTGGAAGTGACCTTCAGCAGTACAGGTGACACAGGCGTTGATCTTTCTTCTGCACCATTTCTGTGTAACCTTTCATTTCAAAAGGAGAAAACAGCACTCCTGTGGAACACAAGTTTTCCAAATTCTTTGGTTACCCTTTTTAATCACTTCTCCTTTAGAGTGAACACATGTTCTCAGCTACACTATGTGAGAACACAGGAAATAGACCTTGCTTGTTCTAAGCACTAGGCTTTCTATCTTATGTATTTTAAAGTCCGATCAGTATTTCCTCCCAGACTTTGTAAACAGAAGCCACTCTGGGATGCTTGGTACCCCTAGCAAAACTGATCTCATCCACAGATTCCCACATATCTGTGTCTATTTATAGCTGTATTATGGAGTCAGTTGTGACGAGAAGGGTGATCTGGAAGTAATTCTGTTGCTTCCTAGAA